CTGTCCATACTGTGAACGACCATTTCCATGGACCTCGTCTCTCAGACGACATATTTTGACACACACTGGACAGAAACCTTATCAATGCGTTCACTGTTCGTTGCTATTCACAACGAAATCCAACTGTGACCGTCATTTGCTCCGAAAACATAAAGCAAATCCGAACAAGATGCGTAGAGTTAGAAACTCTTCTTCTCCAGATTCTCAAGCGGTCATCAGCAATAGTAACTCGTTCTCCATGAGGAACGTTCCTGAAAGACCCTACAAGTGCAATCAGTGTCCCAGTTCAACATTTTCAACGTTGGGTAACCTAAAGAAACATCGTTCCACTAAACACGCTCGGAAGATGAAGACCAGATCGGACACTCCATCCAGTGAACCTCAAACCAGTCCACAGGAGTGTCCAAAGCCGAATAACGAACAAACTGATTATGATAGTCAGTCTTCGAGCGTGTCTGAAGGGATAGAAACTTCTTCGATGCCAGGACTTACCAAATCGAATTCTAGCGCTTCACAATTGGCCAACGAAACAGCTAGGTCAAGGAGACCTTCACCGAGATCATCACCTGGGCCCAGTGATGTGCCTTTTAAGTGCCACTTGTGCGATTGTGGTTTCGCAGAACGACACGACTGCCTCGAACACATCAAAATGAACCACAAAAAATCCTACGAAATGTTAGTGGCGAAAGGGGCACTGGACATGGACATCGACGCGGTTGAAGACCAACAACAACCACCGCCGCAACATCATACCAGCGACGGAGAAGAAAAACGGGGACGTTTCCCAGACTATAGCAACAGGAAGGTAAGAACGTCTACCTTTTTAAGAAAGACTTATACAGAGCGTAAATAAGTTGTGAATATCATTCGTAGATAGAACTACTTTACCTAAGATCAAGTCTATCTATGGTTAACTTACGCTCTGTATCAAGTCTATTGCAAGTAGCGTTACTTCGTAACAGATGACTGATTAACCAAACATGCGAACTGCAACTAAAACAATTAATTTCTTATTACTTCCAGGTTGTATGTGCATTCTGTATGAGGCGGTTCTGGTCTGCAGAGGATCTACGGCGCCATATGAGAACACACACCGGAGAACGACCTTTCTCCTGCGATATATGCTGCAGGAGATTCACCTTGAAACATAGTATGCTGCGGCACAGAAAGAAGCACGAGTCCATTGATTCTACCATGTATGTCGGTACAAGCGGAGATGAAGAAAATTCACCTGCACAGCCACCTACGATCACACCACGAAGTCAACAGCAGCAACAAATTCTGGTGACAGCCAACAACGCAAATTCCCGTATTCAAGACAGAATCTCTTTACCAACTGTTACTCCAGTCGCGACCGGTGATGCAGCCCCGAGTGGATTAATAAGATTCAATCCATACGAGAAATTAACCACTCTGACAGGAAAATTGGCCAGTATTCCATCAAACGCAAATCCAGATGCAGAGAGCACGGATAATGATTTGATCTCGAACCTGCTGGGAATAAGAGACAAGAGTTTCATCGACAGAGTACTACAGGCATCCGCTGATGACGCCGCCAAGTTATTAGGAGTAAAGCGTAGCCATGAGTGAAGTAGAATCAGCTGTTGCTTTTTTTGGACATTTCACGATCGTGCCTTAGGTTCCTCCCCCATTTACGTGTATGAAAGTCAATCGATAAGTTGATCTTTGTATAATAGAGATAGTGTAAGTAGGTACTTATTTGAGAAACAAAAGTGTGCATGCGTGTTAATAAGTATGATAAATTGATAAATATTGTTAAAAATTGAGTTTTGATTTTCTTTTAGCCCTTTTTAATTGTTATTTGCTTGATAGTTAATTTAATTAACAAAAATTTGTTGAAAAAATGAAGAAATACAACAATATATCAATGTTTTTTATATAGCAATACTTATTGTAGTAATTCATTTTTGCGTGACTACAAAAGTATTGTAGTCATTTCTTACATATGTTACAATTCACTCGATACATCGATGGTTTCGTAAGATTTCCAGACAATTCGAGTGAATTGGACATCTTTTCAAATAAACGCACTCTCTATTATTGGTTATTTTTATCGAATATCAGACCGATTGTTTAAAATATCATCTTACAAAATATTTATCGTGTTCCAGAAGAAGAAATTTATTAAACACAAGACCTTTTATCTTAATTTCACACATTTTTATAATTTGACGTTAGTAAGTTTCTTCTTCCTTTAACAAACATGAACTGTTTGATGATATTTTTAAACTATAACTGAGGTCATCGATGTCAATAAAAATATACCTTTCCAATTACATGAAATTAAATCTATGATTATATTGTGGGTGAATTTCGACGATTTTTAACAACATAAGCGAATTAAGGGCCTATTTCAATAAAATTTCATCAAATTTGTTCGAGTCAAGAGAAATGACAAAAACAAAAAAGAGAATTGACAAAAACAACGCAAAGCCACTTTCGCTTATATTCGCGTCAATTAAGTACCTACTTTCCTCTTTTTTTTTTCTATCTTCTCTTTCTTCTAATCTCTCGCGCCCACACGAAACATGGGCTAAAATATTTCCGCGTATCTCTCTCTATTATGTACATATTATAACCACAAATACGTGTGAATCACACGTTTCTAATAAGCTTACACGTTTCTCTAAGAGCTAGCGTTGTATATTAAAAGGGCACGATTAAGCTTTGTCAATACAAAGTCGTGTCAAAACAAAAGATTTATGGCCAGGAATGGAACAAGAGAACGTCACGGAGCATATATTTAATCGGTGACTTTCTCTTCATTAATCGAGCGAGCCGTACTAAAACCCAAAGATACATTTTACACAACGAATTAAGTTAGCCATATAATACGTACTTCTATTTATTGTTTGTCACGTACCTAAAACCGAGATTCACTAAATGGAAAGTTTTCCTTGTCAGCAATGTACTTGTTTTTTGCTGAAGGAGGTGTCTCGAAACGCGAATCGAAAACCGAGACAACCGAAAGAGATTGAAAAGTCGCGTTCGATTTATTGATCGTAGAGTCCAGACCGCGAAGCCCAGTCGGTAAGATAGCATACGTTCTTCTCGGTAGACGTCATGCAAGTCGAAGAACGCGATTCAATAATATGCAAGTAGAGCAATATAGAAAAGAAAGTTTATCGTATATAATTATATAAATAAATAAATATATATATGTAATATCGATTTCTATTCCGTCGGATAAATGATTACTGTACATAGATAGTCTAACTAAAAATTTCGGTAGGTCTATGTTCCACGTCGTATCGTGCATAGTCCTCGTTCGTTCGAGTCCCCTAGGAACCGAGAGGACAATGTTTAAAAAAAATGCAATTATACCAAATAGTCGGCTTCGATTCTGATGTCGGTTATCGGCCTTCTCGGTGGACGCCAGAAATACAAGTCGAACCAATCGATAAAACATTTGTATCTTCTAATCGTATTACTTCTTTCCTTCCTCCTCTCCTATTTTCTTTCCGCGGTGTTCTGCTTCTGATATAATTTTCCATTCTTGCCTTTTGTCATTCATTATATGATCTCTTTTATGCGACACGAATACATTCGTGTATGTATATAAACATGCAGGTTTATACTTCTTTTTCGTCATCTTTCTCTTCCTTTCTTATCAATCTTCACTTTTATCTCTTTCTCTTTCCTTTCTTAAAGCTCACCGTATTTATCCTTCTTTAGCGAGAAAGGCTGCTTGCGAATCGATGTCTGCGCTCGTCGAAAGTCGACCGTTTGCAAACTTATTCGGGGTGTTTTCCGTTTCCTTTCAAGTTCCGTCAATAGCACTTAGATTCTTCTTCGACACATATGTTATATGTGTACTGCGTGGAACGTGTATAGTTTGAAAATTTTATTCCGTAAATTATCGATCTCGATGGAAAAATCTTAAGATCCATCGATAATTTCGTTCGCGCAGTACATGTATAAAAAAGAAGACTTCTCTGCTTTGACTATTGATACGTAGCAACTCGTGACGTCGAATTTCGAAGAATCCCCTATTCGACTAAATATAAATGGGATAACCACTATGCTAATGTTAAGGTTAAGGATGTCAACGGTTATGATTTAAACATAGATGTGTCCAATAGGAATTAACAAATTCCTAAGTATATATATACAGATATATAAACTATAAATGTGTAAATATAGAGATACTGAAAATGTTAATATCTATGCTCGAAGCATAAATTATCGATAAAAGAATCTGTGAAAGCTTGTATAATTATTACAATAATGTATATTTATTACAAAATATCGGAATATTTTTTTTATTAATATTACGAAAATCAAAACGTAACGTTAGCTTTTATGCTTTGTAGTCACGGAAAACAGCCCTAGTAATTTACTCTGAATCGGTGTTTCTTTGTTAATATAAGAAAAATCTTTTAATACATTCAAAGATATAATATAAAACAATTCTTCAAAAAGAATTATTATCTGTTAATTTTAATTTTATTTTATATAATGTTATTGACGAAACGATTTGCATCGTTAATGTTTTTGAACATGCGGTTTCACGTAATCTCATGTATGTATATGAATTCGATATTATTTGGAAAATGTTTGAAACAATAAAAAAGAAAAACGCTAGTGCAAAAAAGGACTAGTTGACATAAAAAAAACGGGAGACGCTGTTTCAGATCTCAAAAATATTTCCACGTCGATGTAGCGCAGCGCAACGTGACGGTGAAGTCTACGCAAAAAAAAATATAAAATATGTAAACGAAAAAGATCTATTTATTAAAGAGGCGAAATGTATTTAAATCTTTGGAGTGATGTTTTTTCTTAATTCGTTTAAAATGAATTATGCTATAAAGTAATTATTGTAGCGCACGTGTAAGTATATGATTATCTTGTATCCTTGTTTAAACTTTGCTTATGAATAAGAATATACCATATCAAGATGAAAAATTAAACATTCCCTTTTCCTTATTTTAATTCCCAAATTATCAGAAATAGAATAGGAAATAGTGATCATACAAAAATCCCTTTCCACAATTTTATTTCCCGTCGAATGCTATAATATTTCACTAATAGTAACGTCCAGTAAATAATATCAATTAAAGTAATAAATTATTAGGAGCAACCAAGCATATATATCACTATTTACATATAAATATTACACATTTCACTAATCTGCGTTCTACTATAAAACGCTATCGACAAAATAGCGTCGAATGCCGATATAAGAAAGACTCGCTTGCATTTCCATACTTTATTTATCTCTCTCTCTCTCTCTCTCTCTTTCTTTCAAATTTTTGCACTTCCGCTTCTAAACTCGCTCGGGAGACATATTGTCGAGGGAGTAACATTCGCGGTCCCATTATCCGTTTCATTCTTTACCTACAAAACGCTTTTAGTCGTTCTATCACGATTATACAAACGTATGTGCGTTTAACAAGAGACACTTAACTATTAGATTCGATCAAACAACACCGAGGCTCGTATGGAGCTTTCTATTAAAAGATTTCAATCTTAAACGTTCAAAGTAGCAACGAGTATTTACTATTATTCCGGTGCAATTTTAAAACATCTGCGGATCTTCCGATAATCGCTTCGTGTATGGAAGATTTTTTTGGTCATGTTTCTTTTCATTTTCTGTGGAAAACACGAACAGTATTATACCTATAATATATATAGATATACGAATTAAACGCACTTGAACGTAACACGTTATAGCTGCGCTCTTTACGATCATTTCAAGATCCGTTTGAAGAAAGATCATCTTATGATCGACGCTGTACTACAAAATCTCTGTTCAACACCTTACAAACGATTCTAAATAAATCATCTTACGTACTTAACATTTAATGTATCGTAATGGAGAAAAACATGGTGTGCATGCATATACGTGTATGTCAGTAGAGTATGATACACATTAGATCACTTGGAAAAACTCTTGATTTTCTCTGATTAAGAAGAGAACTACTAGTAATGAAAAAGCGGACAGAACATGGAAGCGATTACGAAAGTACTACTACACATATTTACACGTATTGCAGCGCTTTCTGACTTGACGATAAAAGCGGTTTACCGGTTAATAAACTTATACTTTTACTTTTTTCTTACTTTTTTTTTTGTTTTCTTTTGTCGTTTTCGTATAAACAAATCAATAGCACTTTTTTTTTAGGCATTCTTCACATACAGATAACATCCATTCTATATGCACTCGTAAATAAATTTAACAAAGACTGAAGATTAATAGGAGTATTAGGTCGCTGGATCACCACCTGCTTAAATCATGCTACAGTATGTCGTTCACTTCCAACCCAGGATCTGGCTGAGTCATGTTGTTCGCGGTGAAGTCGAACTGTTCTATGTCTTTTATCTCGTCCTCGATTTTCACCGCGTTATTGCTTATATCCTCTGGAACTACCGCGTTGTTGCAAACCTGATTCGCTGTGTTCATCGTATCCTCTGCTTTTATATCCTGTTTCATCATGAACGCTTGCTTCTTCGTTTTCGTCTCTCGTTTCGTATCAGTTCTTTCCCGCTCGTACATGAAGGTCTTCCGTTTCCTTCTCATCGGTTTGCACACCTTTTTGTACAACACGTTCATTTCTTTTATTCTGCTCGTTGGTATCGTCCAGTCCATTTCTTTGGACGTTGTGTCAGAATTACGCGTAGGATCCATTGTACTTTCGTACTCGGGTATCTCTAGTCCTAACTTTTTCATAACGCTGATCATTATTTCGTCAACATTGCCATTGATAATTAAGTCTGCCTTTTTGTCCTAAAATAATATCCTTTGCTTTTTTAATTATGTTAATTTTTTACTCAAACGAGTATACTGACCACAGTATGCTATAGTAATTTACACAAATATATCATTAAATTAGTAACAGGTTAATTATTCAAAGTTTAGAGTAAAGACTTTGTTAGTAGTTTAAAGATAAAAAGTTGTCTTACATGTTTTGTGGATTGTAGATTACATATAACAAGACGTCCTCCGTATTTTTTGGTGTACAGAGGTAAATTACCGCTCGGGATAATTTGAAGTGTCGTCCCAAGACATATACTTAAATCCGCGACACTGTAAACGTATATACTTTTATTGAATACATTTTTCCACAATAGCATTATCAAACCAAATAATTGTCGTAAATAATTCTTAACTAAAACCTGAGATATCAATATAGGATTTTTCAGATCAACGAATCATTTTTCCAAATCTTTTTAATACATCAACTGTTAGGCAATCTTCCTTTTATCTGTTCGCAAAAAATACCAAATTTTTCACATTAAATTATATTACAAAGTACGTTCACTTTATTACAATATTCTTATTGCCTGTTTAAAAACTTTTGCACAGTGCCTCGAGACTTATCTGTGTGATATGTCGCAATATAAAAAAAAATTAATATCTTTTATTTCATTAGAGGACTTTGCCGATTTACCTAGAGTGTAAGTCAGATAAAGATAGATCACTGTCTGGCAAGTTGTGTTCCCAATCGAGGATGGTGTCGTGCATGCGTCCACGGCACGGACGACCACCAATTTGCTCAGATCTACATACAGTGTCCAGGGACTTTTTTCCTACGCTTTTAGTTGCAAAATTCCGAATAAATTGCCTAGATGAACATTAACAAATGAAAGAAATAAAATATAGTATTTTGTAAATTTGTAATTGTACAATGTAATTTTTGGGAAAAGAATACCAACCTTCCACATTTATCACATTGTTCGGTAAACATATTTCCATGCAATTCTGCAAGGTACTGTCTCTGTACTCCTGATCGAAGATGCAAGCCATCAATATTTTGACTTATAATAAATTTAACTTTTTCTGGAGGAAAAATAATATTGATCAGAAGTTTTCTATGAAATGAAAGTATATAATTGCTCTGTATTATCATAATTGTACTCACTAGCATCTACTAATTTTTTCAATGCCATATGTGTTTTTGTAGGAATTGCTTCGTCAAAAGAAATGTTCATTGTAGGTTTCAAACCTTTCTGCTCTAATGTCCATACTCCATTTGTACCTCTAAGAAACCATATACATAGTATATGGAAATTATTAGAAATATTCAATATATATATCTATATGAGTCTCTCAAAAGCCAAACTGATCAACTTTATTTTTTGTCAATTTTTCAATTTCATTATCTAAGTAGATTATTAATCATTTTTCAAAAAGTAGATGACCTATTTTCACAAGTTAATTTATCAGAGAGATAACATGATAATAACAATAAATTCTAAAATATATATTAAAAGATAATGTTGTATCATCATCTCTTCCTACTTTCCAATTTATGGAGTTAATTAGTAGGGCTTGTGTGCGACTCATATATGAAATATAACATAAAAAGAAACAAAACATAATAGATATATAAAAAATAAAAAATATAATTGAACGTTAATTTCAATTAAATTATTATTTATCATAAAATTCATAATTTTTTACTTATGATAGAAAAGATAATGTATTTAAATTATAAAAAATGGCATATGTTATGTGTGTGTGTGTATATATATAACATATGTGTATGTGTGTATGTAACATGTTACATATGTGTGTTACATATAACACACACGCGCGCGCGCACACACACACACAACATAAAGTAATATAATTACATTATGTACTATATATAGGATAAAAGAATAATTATTTATTTAAAAAATTAATTCATAACTTTTTCGTAAAATAAAAAAAAAGATAATTATTAGAATTATCAGCTATCATTCTATCTCTGCATTTATTTCGGAAAACTTGAGTTAATTCGATGGTTTCTGCTCGATTTCATAAGTTAATCAGCGTTTTGGGATAGATCACGGTGAGGCATTGTCGCACGCAACAATGGTGGACGCGTCGATTCGAAAGGAAATATTTCGGGCTGTTTCTTCGCCGCTTCCGTTATTCCCGCTCGATTAATTTAAAAGAATTGGCCCAGTGGCGCTTTCGAACGCATAAGCAGAGAATCGGAATTACGGGAGAGCCGATCGGGAGCTGCTCGGGGAGAGGGGATGAAAGTAGTTAGAAGTAGGGTGGGGATTCGAGCGAAAAATTACAAATGATAATCACCGAAAATCCGGAATGCCCGCAGCAGTGCTGATGCCGGCGCCGGTGTGAACGACTACGTGCCGTGCCGCCTGTATCCAATCGGCTAGAAGGCCGCACTTCAGTCGCAACGCCTCAACGCTGTCGTATCTCTATAAAAAAAAGGAAGGAAAGAGAAGGAAATAAAAAAAAGGCGATAGTTAAGTTTTCACACATCGGGTGGGCGAACGATTGGAAATCGTCGCGGATGGCCGACTCCCGCCAAACGGGCGATGGTGAATAAACGGTTTTTACCTCTTCCAGGCCCAGCACTCCTTTGTTTTCGTACTGCGAGAGACCGTCCGCGTAGCTGCATGACATTTTTGCTCGCGCGTTATCGCTCAACAAATTATTCGACTCCGAAAACCCTCGACTACGACGCTAACAATGGCTCGATCGTGTTTTTTATTAGACGAAAACTGGCATTTCGTGCACGATATCAACGGTTTCCCATGTGTCGGACGACACGTAAACAATTTGTAAGTTAATGACCGCGTGCTGTTATGTTTATACGCTACGAATGACGATAAGTGATAGGAAACTCGAGATCCACCGAGAACGCATTCTGTTTTATAGACTGCACTGCATGCAATGAAATGGCACTTGAACAGAAAGAAGATAATAAACGTGCAACGCATGCGCAGGATGCGCCCCAGGGAGAGGTGGCTATAGCGCTGCAGACGCTTGAGTTTCTCGCGTCCATTCAATTCATGCCGCCGACAATCAGCGCCATCTACAGCCACTCTTTGCGATTAAAATTCGTTCGCGGTAATATTTGAAACAATTAGTTGTTTAGTTGAAGAACTGTAAAGTGCGATATAAAGCGCGCGTTTTCGTTCTTCTTACCGCTTTCCTCTTCCTATCGATTCGCTCTGTAAAGTTTCCAGCGCTACTTTGTATCTGTGCTTTCGCTCAGCGTTTGACGTTTAAAGTATTTTGACATGAATTTTATAATAAATATTGATACGATCCCCTATGATTTCACAAATTTTTCTATATAAATAAATTCTTATATTCTACTTAGTCTTAGATATCTTAGTCTTAAGTATCGTTGTATAAAGTGAAATAAGTTAATATGTTTAAATAAAATAATAAGAGAAAGCGCCATTTTGAATATTTAGAAGTTGAACATTGAAAGTCTGGTACTCTTAGTCATTACAATTTGCACAAAATTAATAAGAGGACTTTGATATGTAAAAGTTAAATGAAATATTATATCATAATTCATTCTTTTAACAATACTACTTAAAAAGATTCTAAGTCTAAAACAAATGACACGGTATACTCTTTCATGTTATCCAATTTATTCATAAATCTGTAAAGATACAAAAATAATTGATCGATTAAAAAATTTTATGAAATCTCATGCATTATTTGTTTTATCTTAACTAAATACACGTAAAATAATATACGTGTATTTAAATACAGCAGGTCACAAAAATATTCGGATACTTACCACAGACAATTTTTATAAATACATTATATGCATTGTACGAAACTTTTTGAAATTTCATTAGCACTATAGTGAGACATAACTATCGTGAATATAATAGTAAAATTTGAAATTCAAAAGTATACATAGAGGCTATAACACATTTACTGCAAGCATGCGTTTAGTAAAACATTAGTATACAGCGTGAATAATAATCTTAATTATACAATTATGCACGGATTAGGATAAGGACACATATAATGTACAAGTACACGTGTCTTTTTAATACTATGTAGTCGAATATTGACAGATCAAGTGTATTAATACTAGTTCAAAATCATGATCTCTAATAAAAGTTATGTCAAGGAAATGAGAGAATCGATAAGGTTTGTCACTTGAATCTCCCGCATTTGACGCGATGCGCAAGGCCGACTGAAGAGGGTGCGCCCAATAGACGGCGCAGAGTCGTAGGGTGGGAACACCGTGTTCACCATCGACTCATGGCTCAAATGGACTTCGCTCTTTGGCCACGGCATCTCACTGTGGGTTTCATATCCTAGCTAATTTTTCTACACATGGTTCGATCTGTCTCGGTCGTATAGAGAGGCATACGATTAAACAAATAAAGAGGAAGGGAAAAATGAAGGGTGTCAGGAAAAAAAGGAACAGAGCTGTTGAACAATCCGAGATATCCACATTCTGTTGACGTTCACGTAGCTTTTCCTTTCGAGAACGCGCGTTTACGTTTTCTTGGCCCAATAGTGATATGCCAGCCGTTAAATACGACGTTGTCGTTAACGTTCATCTAGCATAACCTCAAACTCCCTGTGATTACATTATACTACGCTTCAGCGACGTCGAGGCATTAATGTCAACTGTGCCGAATGTGTAAGACAAGATTTCTAACTGGGCGACAGATGCTGCGAAGTCTTCATTGCTCTTTATCGCACGTAAGTTGTAAGTATAATTTTTCTGCTTTTTTTCCGTTGGGTCGGGTCGGGTTACACATTTGCTATTTTTCGGTACTGTGGCATGATGCTTTTGTTTTCGTTTCTCGATAGAAGCGTTTAGGCGATAGTAGTGTTTGAGGATGATGCGTATGTTGCATGATTAGCAAAAGCTTCTTTTTGTTTCATGTACATTCTTATGAGAAGATGAATTATCACTCTAAAAGAAAACAATATATGTATATTAGAAATTGATTAAATGATATTATAGTAACATAATAAATTATATATTACAGTATATCCTTGTTTTATATATAGGGTGTCCCTATTTTTTCCCGTAAAATGACACCAGCATATTCTAAGAGTAAAAATAAGAGAAAAATGTTATATACACATAGGCTTAAAAATGCTTTCTTAAAAAATTATGACAAAAACAATTACGGTTTTCATTATCGATACACTATAAGAATAAAAGAATAGATAGATAAGAATAGATGTCATTAAAATGGAACTACATAAATCACCAATTTGTTCATATACTCCATTGAACGAAAACTAGTCTGTTATTTTGAATCTTTGTTATAATTTTTTAATAAAGCATATTTGAATCTATGTTTACATAACATTTTTCTCTTATTTTTAATCGTAGAATATGATACTAGCATTTTGCGAAAAGAGGTAGAAACATCCTGCATATTCTCATGACAAGAAAGTTAGCTTCCTGAAAAAGATAATATATTAAACGATTTACTTAGAAATTTATATTTAGAATATAATGCGTATATTAATATTGTATAAATTTGACAATTATGATAGAAATATTTAATAATTATATCATATATATTATATTAAAAACGATATATATTAAAAAGATATTTGTCTAGAAATAAAAATTTCGAACATTAAGATTATTTATAAAAATATTTAAACTTGCGAAATTGATAAGGGAAATTATGTATGTACATTGTTTCATAAATTATCTATCTAATTGTCGAGACCTGAGGTGTGTAACAAGTAACAAGTTTCTCTGTGACTTATTAATGAAGCATGTAAAGCAACCAGCTTTGTAATGTTTCCTTTGTTTCGAGGAAACAGAGATGAGGATCTTTAGAAAACAAAACGTGTTTATACTATAATATTATTTTGCAATACAATAAGTTTCAAACGTTTTCGGAATATCAAAAGTGAAGGTTCTGGAATGTTGATTTTTTCACAGCACTTTCTAAACGCTGCGTAATTTAGCACGGTTTACAGTAATATGGTGTTTAAATTTGTTCACAAAAATATTTGTAGTAATTTTTCTTTCAATCTCTAAAAGTTACAGATAATTAACAACTTATAAAAAGTTAATTAAAACGTTGGTAATATGAATTTTATTTACTCAACATAAAAATTTAATTGTATATAAAATAAAAAATTTATGTAATTAAAATAGTAAAGTCAATATAATAATTCTCTGCATTTGTTATGATATCATAAGTGCGGAATTATTTATTTTGAAGTTGGTAATCATGTAATGAAAGCTAATCTCGGGTGAAAGGTTATCACCCGTTATAAGTTACCCTTAACAGTAATCATTTGCATTAAAATTCCTCGAAACAATGAAATATGTAGTACATACATCACACACATACGCGCGCGCGCACACACATACAAAGTAATATATACGTGTGTATACATTACTGTGCGTGTGTACATTACTTTAAAAAATAAATAAATATATATATTACTCTTTCACATGCACAAAATTATGTTTTTCACACTTGACTTATTATCATGTGTATTGATCTCGTTAAATACGAACATTAGTAGCCAAAGAATGGAATTTATATGTAACAAGTTTTTTGGTACTTACACGAATATTTATGTATCGATTAAATAAGTCGTGACGCAATTGCTATGTTCTTTCCTATGCAGCGGAGTGTCCCATATACTTTCCAAGATCTAATGATCTAGGATGTCTATGAAGTAACGAAAGGCTATCAGCCTTATTTTTATATTTCCATATAAAAGAGATAAAAAAATGATTTTGAGTCGCACTGAATGCATCGAAAATACACTGATTTTATATGAAAAAATAATGTAGAACCTGAACAAGATGTTTTAGGCTTTGAGGATCGTTGAACACTGCCACGTCGACCGAATGGCCGATATATTCATGCGATAAGCGCTGTAATTTTTTGATAAATAGCCGGTGTCACCAGCTATTATTCCTACATTACAGAAAACAATTCATTAAAGAACGTTATGTTTAGAAATCGAACGAGAATGTCGACAGAAGAGTTTTGAAAATTTTGAACTGGAAAAAATGGCTTCCGAAGGGAAGAATACTTCTTATCTATAAGAAAAATATCGTTATTATCTTTTCATCAAATTTTATATAGTTCAATGATTAAATAATATGTAATAATCTTTGCATTATATATTACTTTGAAGTAATTATTGAATGATAAAGGGATATAAATAAACCAAATGGGAACGTTACTGGGTTGAAGTTCCGAAAGGCCCCGGTAACCTATCGACTCGAAATTTGATGGCGGTGGTGGACCCCAAATATAAAATATTAAACATTTTTTAGACATTTAGAAATGTATACATTGAATTCTGTCTATACAGACGATATTAATACAGCCGTCGTTGCTGTAGTAGTCATCGCCGTGAACTCTTAAGCAGGCGATGATACAGCAGCAATATCCGCCTCAGTATCTATAGGGTGTTTCACGTAAAATAGATCATTGTAACTTCAGCCGCACAAAGGATGTTTTATATTTTATTTAATTATTCCTTAAAGTGTTTAAGCTATCAAATGCTGGATTAACATTAGTATTAACCTAAGCCAGCTTGAAAACTAAAGCGGAATGGCGAAATATTTTGCGTATAATTCGAAAACTAAGGCCAACCATTGGTTACCTGTACAGGAAAAAGTTGTTCAAAATATAAAATTTCTCAACATATTTTAAGATCACCGAAATTGGCAAAGTAGCCTTTCGACAAGAAAAATATATAGCTTAGTCCGAACCGATATTACTCGTACTTTTCTATCTCCATCCGGACAGTATCCGGTACGGTATCCAAAATTACACTAAGTACGGTGTAACCCAATGCTTTTGGCCAGCGAAATTAAGATGTAAATATAACGTAGCTTAAAAAGAAATGGCCGAGTTGTAAGTGGAACACCCCATAGATACCAAAGCCGATATCACTATTGCATCATTGGCTGCTCGACAGTCGACGGCGATGGTGACGTTATTTCAGTAATGACGCTTGCATTAGTAACATCAGTATAGACAGGATTTAATGTACAGTACTGCAAGTCCTGTATCAATATCTTGGAAATATATCAATAAATAAATACCAGAAACTAAAATTTTATATTTGCGGCTCACACTCTCCTGCTCCCCTTTCATCAAGCCCCCTCAAGTTTCATGTCTATCGGCCACCAGGGCATTTCGAAACTGAAATTAATCTATACGTTTTTAAACAAATGCTATAACCTCGGAGAAGCTATATTTGAAACATAGACTTTTAAACTGTTCACGGTCATGGGAGGATGGAAATTATTCAAAGGGATAATACCTAACTCGCCTA